GGACCCTCCGGCACCGCCGGCAATCCCCCGTGTCCCGCTGGCTCCAGGCAGCTCTCGGCTCTGCCTCGCTCTGCGCCAGCCCTGCCCCTGCTCCACCTCCGCTCTCCCCATATCGAAGAAAATCCGGATAAATTTCACCAGGGTTACGTCTCCGCTCTCTTATTTCTGCTGCACAAAGGAAGGGAAAAAGTTGCTCAAAGTGTAAGTGAAGCGCAAGAGACTATCACAGAGATTTGCTTGCCCGCAAAAAGCGCTCATTTAATTTTTTTGGGGGGGACCTGCACCGATAAAAGGCGTTTTGCAGAAGCCAAGTTCATTTTCCCCCATCTCCTAAGTACAGATTTTACGCCGTACACACACCTCCGCTTCCAGATACCTTCCTTCAAACCTGCCCTTTTATTCCCCATATGAATTTCTTTGGATTTTGCCACGGCTGTTAATTAATCTCCTAATTATCTGACCTCCAGTGATTGCCTTTCACACTTGACTTGGGTGGGAGAACAGTTACTATTCCTGGCAGCCCGGTCGATGCCGCCCAAAGTCACTTTGAGAGCCAGCCTCCCCGTGTCCCCCGCTGCATCCACGGCAATATATCATTATCCATCTATTTTAGGGAAAAAAAAAATCTCAATTCAAGCCAAATAAATGAAAAATATAAAGCGAATGGGGCGTGTGTCGAAATAGCCGGGAGGTCCAGGGCTGGCCAGCTTGGCTTGACGGATTTTTACCCGTTTTCCCCCAAAGGCAAAGACCGCCACGGGCTCCAGCCTGCACCCAGCTGCTATTTGAAGAATTTAACAGATTGGGGATTTATTTTTTTGGTTTTGTCGGCATTAACCCAACACTTTTTGCACAGGAACCAAATTTATTTCAGGGGATGGAGAACCGTACCCCAAACCCAGGTGAATTAAAGGAAAACATCAGCCACAAGCCTTGGTGTCCTGGCAGTAACATTCTGGGGCTAATTCTGAGGATTTTAGGAAGCTGGTGCTGGCAGGAGAAAGAGCAAAACACCCACCCGGCTGCAGAAATCAATATTTTTGCTTTAAAAATGAGCTGGTACCTTCTAACAGATGAAGTGTCCCAAACGCCCCAAGAGATTTTGCCACTAGGTCGGGGTCCCCAGGTGATGGATGGGGATACACAACCCTTCAGCTGGGTCTATATTGGTAAAAAAATATGAATTTTTTTTTTTTTTTGCTATCTAGCTTGGCTGGTGAGAGCTCTACCCCATCTGCTAGACCCAGGCTTCGTTAGAGGCACCAATAAATGAAAAGTCCTGATCGATTATGGGCTGATTTGTGAGAGTTACACACCCTGGGATTTTTTCCTCTGATTTTTTACATTTAAAGCTTTTCCCACCCAAATCCTTGTGTACAAACGCAAGCAGGACACAGACAAGAACTGTTTGAAAACGCGACTGGACGCACTCTAGAAATAAAGGGAGGAAAGGAAGAACGTCGTTATCCTTGCCAATTAAACCCCCCCCCCCAGGTCTCAGATCCGCAAAAAAGAAATTTTACCGTTAATAAACTCACCTGGAGCTCCCCGAAAAAGCTCAGAAATGGGAGGACGGAGCCGAGGAGTAAATTCACGGGTGGGTGCGGGAGCCCAGGCTGCCCTGAGACCCGGCTGCGACCATCGTATCGACGCCTCCTGCCCAACGCGCTGCGGCTCCCAGGAGAAAATGGATTTGGGGCGCCGCGGATTGACTTTGGGAGCGGAAAGGCATCACGGGATGCGAACAGAGCTCCGGAGAGGATGGGACGTGGGAGCCGTGACGGTCTCTAGGCATCAGAGCACCGGGCGCAGGAAAATTCAAGCTGCCCAGCCCCAGCTTGCAGAATCTGCATCTTCTGGGGTTGTTGGGTTGGTTTTTTGCATCAGTTTTGGCTCAATTTCTTGGGATTTGGGAGGGAAACGGCTTTTATTTTTTTTGCCCTGTGCAATATCACGTACATCTGATCATAAGGCATGGAAGGAAATTCTCCAAGGAGGTGCAGAGAAGCTTCACCATCGGTGAGAAAGCTCCTAAAACCCCTGGGGACGATAGGCTCAGCCCCACGGCCACCAAATACCATTTGGGGTCTTTTTTTTTTAAATGAAGGCTGCACACTAAATTATTTTGCAATTTCCACATTTTGCTTTCAAGGTGTTGAACACGTGTACATTTGATTTAGTGAAACGCAAGCTCTCGGCCGCGCGAGCGTGCCCGCTTTGCTTCCCGAGCTGTCCGCTCCTATTTAACGCCCGGCTTCCTCGCCCCCGCTCAGCCTTTTAACCGGGGTATCGATAAATCCGCATCCAGCAGCACCCGGCACCCCGTCAGGGACGGCCTCAGCGTTAAGCCAAAAAAAAAAAACCCCGAGGACCAGGAAATCAAACTTTGTGCTTTAATGTCGGGGCTCTTCTCGTGCCTCTGGGGACATTATTCACCGGCACGAGCCGGGATCTCAGCAGAAGCGAAGCAAAACCCGTTTGATCCTTTAAGGCTGCTCCCATTGTCTTCCCAGCTCCTGTTTTATTAAATTTTTACATTTTAAAAAATCATTTATTATTTATGCAGCAGGGTAAGGTCTGGAGCAAGGCAGCAGCAATTTCCAGATGCAAAATTCGGGGTGAATGAAGGAACATTGTTGGCATCTCCTTTCTTTAGAGTTATGAGACATGTTTGTTAGCAGGGAGAAAATATTTTCCAAAGTGCACTTCTGATTTCATGTCCCGGCTTACATTTGTCTTTCCTGTTTGGTTTTTTTTTCTTTTTTTTTTACTGTTTTTTTTAATGCTCAAGATGATGCACGAATCAGCTTCTCCCCATCTCCCATCTCCCACCGAAAACCAGGATGAACCCCAACACGAAAAGCTGCTCATGTCCGACCCGCTCCACGCCAGCGTCCAGCATCGGCGGGCGCTGCCCAGGCAGGAAAATGGAACAAAGACGCTGGTGGCTGCCTGTAAATAAAGAGAAAAGAATAGAAATGAGCTTTCTTTCCCCAAGCACACGGAAATAACAAAGAGCAGGTTGAATTTATCAGCTTGGATTTCTCAAGGTTTTATGAACACTTCCTGGAGAGAGGGGAAAGAACAACAAAAGCAAAATCCCCGGAGCCTGCGAGCTGCCCGGGTAAAGGCAGCAACCCTGATAGTCCTCAAACAATCGTGCACGCACCATTTCCCTGGGCTGCAGGTTTTACCCTCTCCACTTGCAAAAAAAAAAAAAACAACCCCAAAAAACCAAACCCCACTCCAATTTTGGCCACGCTGTTTGAAAAAAATTCAATAACCCCACTGCTGTGGTTCACAGCTCCATTTTCAAGATGATTTGCAGAAAAAAAAAAGGGTTCAAAAAGTGATTGCTTCTCCTTTAGTTAAAAAATAAAGTCTGGAAATAGTCAGAAGAGGGAGACAGAGACCCGCGGACTCACCCCAGCGCTCGCTCGCCTTTCCCTGCTTGGGCGTCCAAACAACCAAACCAGCCTCCGGCTTCCAATAAACCCTCATTAATTAATAGCATCACTAATAAACCCAATAAATCCTCCGCCCAGCGGCGTTGCAGACACATTGCTCTTTGGAAAAACAGACTTCTTTTTCTTTACATCTCACTTTTGGAAAATAGACTTTTTTTATTTTTTTCTTTGTATTTTGCTTTTGAAATAATTCATCCTGCTCAAGAGATGCAGCAGGTCCGGCCGCCCCGCGGCACCTGCGGGGTTTTTGGCACATTCGGAGAGGAAACATGTCCCCGATCTCCGCTCCTGCCTCCGCGTTGGATTTACGGCCGCTGCCATCGGTCAGTTATTGCTGAGCCTGCACCGGAGCAGCCCGGGGAGCTTTGCAGAGGGTTCTGCGGGGGTTTTTGGGATAAAAACACTCTCCGATTTTTGCAACTCATCTTGGAGGTTTCCCTCTGGGAGCCTGCTTCCCAAAGCCGCTCAACTTCCCGGTCCAGGGTTGGGTGCAGCACACGGCGGGTATTTAATCCCTGTATCCCGAGTGATGTGGGAGGGAACCGCTGCCTTGAGCGCCAAACTGTGCTAAAAAAATAAATATTCTGAAAGGTAATTCCTTACTTGATCTTTAGAGGTTGGTTTCCAGCGGAGGGGGGTCACCACCATCCCCGGGGGCAGCGCGCTGCCGCAAGAAAGCTTTGCTTTAAAAATCCCTGGGCTCTCCTTTTCCTCGTCTGGGGAGAAAAACTGAAGCCGCAGCTCAGGGGGAAGAGCTGGAAACCTTCAGAAATGGGTGGTTTTCCCCGTGTGAAAACATCCATCTCGCTGCAGGAGGTGGAATTGTGCCTCCCTGGGGGGCTGAGTCCTGGAAAAGCCCTTGGGAAAGGCTCTGCAGAGCACGCCGCTCTGGTTTTGCCTTTAGCTATGTCTTTGTGGGCTCTGGGGATCCCCCCTAAAGCCCCTGTTTTTCAGGAGATCAGCGTAAATACAACTCTAAAGACACCCCAAGGTGCAACGGCGACGGTGCCGCTCCCCTCCCCGCTGGCCCGACCGGGGTGCGGCGAGCGGAAGCGACTTTGCAAAACAGAAGTCACATTTATTGTGTCAAAAAAAACCCAACCAAACAAACCCAAAAAACCAAAAAAAACCCCCAAAACCCAACAAAGACATGTACAAACGCTTGAAAACGCCCAGGTAGCACAAAGATCCCAGGGCGCTGGTGTGCCTGCACAGCGCGTTGCGGTTTTTATAGCCTCCCACTTTACAGCTTCCCCCAAAGTTTCTCCTGAACCTGAGCAGATAAATCGCATC